CTCCCTCACCGTCATGAAAAAAAAAGGTACGAAAGCTAAAAAATAAAAAAAGGCTTGCAAACACGCTGGCCTCCGGTCAGGGGCGGTTGGCGGTTGCTGTGCGGCAGGGCGGGAAGCTGCGCGGAGGGTGGGACTACCACGCCCGCCAAGTGACATTTTTAATTAAAAAGTTGGCGGAACCCCTTCTCTCTCTCTCTCTCTCTCTCTCTCTCTCTCTCTCTCTCTCTCTCTCTCTCTCTCTCGCCCCGCGGCGCCTTTTTTCGCTGGCCGCTAACCCGCGCTGCCTCGGTAAATACGAGTGCATATTACTTGGGGCCTAATTACACGCGCCCCGCACCCCGGACAAGTGTCGCGTGCATCTGCGATTGTGACGGGCGGAAAGGGCTGGCCCAGTTGCGTAATGTGCGCACATCAGAGAGAGAGAGAGGGAGAAAGAAAAAGAGAGTTGAGGGGCCGGGATCGATATTAAGGTACTTTTCGGGGGACTTTAAGGCACAAAACATTTTGCAACTTGTATCGAAGCGAACCTACGTTTATTTTGAAGCGCGCGGGTTCATGGGATAGAGGAGTGTATGGTGGGCGAGAAGGAGAGTGAGAGTGAGGGAGAGGGAGATATGCCCCGAGCATAGGGCCGGCACAGGACGGGCGAATTTAATTAACTTTGTTTTGCATGCAATCGCGTTTATTTTTCTGGGGCAGATTGTTTTCTGTTGCGGGCGCGTGTGTGCGTGCGTGGAAGGGCTAACGCCAGGTACGGAAACAAAGTTCCCCGAATCTCATGGCAGCGACCCGCGACCCGAGAGAGACCCGGCGAGCTGTATGTGTTTTCGACCCGCTGCGGCCAAATGGCTCAGAGGAAGGAGACCCTATGAAACTGTTGTACCCGACTGTACCGCAGCCCCGTTGTTTTCCACCCTGGCTTTCCTGCCTGTGCAGTCCGACGTCTTCTGAAGTTGATGCACCCATGCATTCCTTGAAGCAGGAAATCTCATTGAAATTAGCCTTGAATCAAAGAAATTTTTCATACATAGTTATTACGATTTTTTATTTCTTTTGATTGAAGAGTACCTCTCCTAATCTATAGGGGAAATATTTAACATAAGGATTTTTTTTTATTGTTGAACGAAAGGAAATTCCATCAGAACAAGATGAAAGTTTTATTTTTATTTTTTTCCAAAAGGTGATTTTCTGGGTGTGCAAGGACACTATTTCCTACCTCTATTTCGCCTTTACGCTTTTCTAGTAAACCGCTGCTGCATGGTCATATCGAAATAGCATGGAGCCTGGTGTGTTTCTGCTTTCGAACTGTTTGCGAAAGATAAATTTTTTGCTTACTTCTGTGAGATGGTGTGAGATGGTTTCCATTTGCTTCCATCGAAGACCAAAAGTTAACGTAAGCTCATGTTTCCTGACAGTCAAACAGGGCTGTGGAAAATAGGGAAAATAGCACACAGAAGCTTTCGATGGCTGTTTTCATGGTAACTGAATACTGCCTCAGCCGGCATTTCAGTTCAGAAAGCTTTTGGCTACCAGCACATCGCGTATTTTGTCTCGTAACGCAACTCTATTCTTCACCTTCACCTTTTCTCACTTCCGTTTAAGGAACCAGCAGAAACAACGGGACCCTTCTTGCGCTGGACAGCAAATATAAGACCCTTAACGGCGAAATCAGTGTGCGTAGAAATAAACAACTCCGTCTGTTTGTCCACCAGGCCTCCTGAAGGGCTCCACGGCCCAGCAGCGCGCTTCGCACCACAACAACGGCCTCCACCACCTCCAGCAGCAGCAGCAGCAGCAGCCCGCCGAGCGGCCCAAGACCCTCCGGCGGCTGAAGCACGTGTACGACGTGCCGCTGGTGAGGCCGGAGCAGCGCAGCGGGCCGCTGCCGGGCAGCCGCGGCGAGGGCAAGGAGGTGCGGGAGGCGCGCGAGCTGCGGGAGCTGCAGGAGACGCGGCAGCGGCTGCTCGCCACCAACACCACCACCGCCACCAACGGCACCGGGCACAACCTGGCCGCCGACAAGCCCAGCGCCGCCACCGACAACAAGCCCACCACCCCCGGCGACAAGCCCCTCAGCCCCTTCGACGAGCAGGAGGAGTGGAACAAGATCTCGGAGATTATGGCTTCCTTCGGCAGCGGCCTCGGCGTCCGCGATCCCATGTTTAACGAGCTGGAGAAGGAGTTCCAGGAGCGCCTAGGTGAGTGTTAGTCGCAGACAGCGCGCCCGTTCAGCTTATTGATTTCTTCCTCATTTTTATTTCGTTAATAATTGTACCCGATCTGGGCGTGCCTGCCACTGCGCCCTCAGATTTCACACCCACTCGCTCAAATTAAAGCAATTATTTTCCGACTGGGTGATTTTTCTCGCCGTGATCCTAATTGTAATTGGAGCCTTTGTCGTTTGAGCGCTTTGGCGCGCTCTCTTCTTTTCCGTTTTTTTTTTCTAAATTTGTTTAGAACGTTTTATATTTTTTCATTTTATATCGCGCTCCAGTCTATTGTGATTTTAGGTTTGTTTATTTACTGCCACGTCTCGGTGGCATCTCAAAGTTAATTGACCGACTCGAGCAATTCATGCACGCCAAATTAATTGGTTGTCGCCCGGTGACGATGTGCCCTCGCCCTCCCGCGCCCTGCACCCGTCCCCCCTGGCGGTGTAGACTGCTGTCGGTTGTCGAGTCTCGTCATCGACAGGGCTCTGTAACGTAACTTATGAGTACTTAAGTGCCTCTAACGTCTAACGTTATTTTCAGAGTTAAAGTTGTAACTTGTAAATAAGTTGCAAATACGACTTTTCCAATTCATTCATCTGCTCTGTCAAACCATTTTCTTTGTAGGCTTACAAAGAGTGTGATTTCTTGGTGTCGCGAAACATTTGCTTTGTACTTTGTATTACGAAGCACAGCCTGTCTTTCAAAGAGTTACATGCGCAGTACGCATTTTCTGGTCTGGTCATCGAGTCAGAAACAATGTCACTCTCTCTCACTCGCTCGCTCTCTCTTTCTCTTCCCCGCTCAGGAGTGTCGCGCTCTCCAAGCTGCCCGGACCCACTGTCGTCCCCGCTGGTGTGCTCAT